CCCTTCTTTACCTCTTTGCCTTTTGGCTGCGTGCAAGTGGGTCCTTGTGACACACGGGGATGGGGGCAGCCAGCGCTCAACCTGTCATCCACGTGGCTGGCCTTGTACGTAAGAGGTTATGAACAGGTGGAGCTTTCCTTACCTCCTTCCCTTTCCCTTTTTTCCTTTTCCTTTTTTCTTTTCCCTTTTTTGCGCTCTGATTCACAATGTGACAATATATAATCCGCCTTTGCACTCTGATTTCCATTGTGACAATATATAAGAGCGAGAAGTGTGACGATATATAAGAGAGGGAACCTTAGGCAGAAAAGCAGAAAAAGGAGGAGAAACGGGGGGCTGTGACATTGTTTCGTCGGAGTTTCACCAACTCATCAGGCAACTGAACCCTCGACAGTTTGCAGAGTCCCCTAACAGAGAATACTGGAAGTGATAATCCACATTAGAACCAGTTTAGGGCGGGCAGCGGCCACTGCTCTCCAGGGCACCTGTGAAGAGAATCAATGTAGGTATATGCGCACAGTATACACATGCGGCCAGGGAGAGAGAGGGCAAAGGAAGGACAAAGACTGTGAGAGAGATGCGGTTACGCACAGGAAGAGAAACACCTGTGCGTGTGGATGAGTTATATCGTCAACACTCCTCTCTCTCTCTCTCTCTCTCTCTCAGAGAGGGTACCTGTGAAGAGAATCGAAGTATGCTTGTGTAGACAGTATACACACGGGGCCAGGAGAGAGAAGGAAAAGGAAAGGACTGAGACTGTGAGAGAGATCGGGTTAGGGAGAGAAGAGAGACACGTGCGTCTGGATGAGTTATGTCATCAACGCTGCTCTCTCTCTCTCTTTCGCTCTCTCTCGCGCGCGTGTGTGCGCACTGGGTTAAGAAATGCTTCTGCATGGCAATCTGGTCGTTGTTTTTTCAGTTGTAACAGGTATATTTACTACCGTCTTCACCCGAATAGAACGCCCGGTAATTATCGCCGTATCTGGGCTGAAAGTTGTGCCAAATACAGCTATAATGACCGGGCGTTCTATTGGGGTGAAGACGGTAGTATTAATGAGTTATTACATGAGGAGAGTCAATTTCTTCTCGTTCCTTAGTTGCGCGGATGGTGACTTATTGAAGCTATCTGTTCTGTGTTACCTCTGCCTTGAACTGGTTTTGCCCCTCCTTTTCGATTGGGTGTTGGGCAGTTAGAGAGTAAAATGCAGTATGTAAAATCGTGAATTCTACTAGACAATGGCCCGTTACTGCTCATGGGACAAAAGGGCCCAACACACTAACACACTTAGAGAGCATATTCACACTGGGACTTTTCGGACTGAGCTCTGGATGTGGCTACAGTGAGATACATCCAGGTGAAGTTGGAATTCCGGTCAGATTCATCCACGAAAGTCGTTGCGAGTATTCCCTTAGCCAAATTGTGCAATTTTCAAGCATTTTTCAACGTTTTTTTTCCGAAAAGTACGTCCGCTCATGATATTTTCAGAATCGGATGGGCCTGAGCGAACAGTGCTCCGAAACGACACACCATTCAACCGCTGGTGGAACTTGGCCCTCTGCAAGCATAGCTACACAATCAAGGGGATGTATAGGCTTTAGAGGTAGTGATAGGTAGGTAGTGAAAGGAAAGGTGAAATTGAGAGAAGAATGCAAGTGGCCTGTGGCTCAGTGGTTAGGGCACCGGTTGTCAATGGGCATTGTGCTCTGAGGTTGTGGGTTCAAAACTCCACGCCTCTGCGGGCACAGACACCGGCGGGCGTTTACATAATGCACGGTCACTTCCATACCCCCTTGGGCTGACGCAGGTAGGTTATTATAGACACTGCTTGTGCACCACCCAAGGGATCGTCCATGGTGTTGTATGTTGTGCGTCCGGTCCTCCTCGTCCTCCTCCTGCAGTTGACGAATAACGTATCTGACAATTCCTTCTCCCCCCTTTATTGCCACAGCCCTCATCGTGATGAGGAGTGTGGTGAACACTCTCAGGAAGTTTCACCCTCATCAAGATGACTGGTTTTGGTAGGGCTGCAAGTGGATTTCCAGTTGGTTAGTTGAGTGATTGGGAGTGAGGCTGTTCGTTTGATTAGTCAATTAATGGGTTTCAGCAGCTGATTGTGTTAGTCGATGTCTTAGTTGGTGAATTAGTTGATGGGTTGGTTTATGGGTTGGTTTATGGGTTAGTTAATTGGTAAGTTGATGGGTTAGTTGATGGGTTAGTCGATGGGTTAGTTGATGGGTTAGTTGATGGGCTAGTTAATGGGTTGGGTGCTCGGTTGGTTGGTTGACTATGACTGGGGAGTACATGTGAGCTGGCTTCTTCATTGGACATGCTGGATGGAGGCTTTGCTGCTCTCTCTTGTTGGTGCACTTGGCAGTGTCTACCTCCTTGATCCTTGCTCATTCAATTTTCCTGCATGTCAGGCAATACCCATCAACATCACCGATCCCATTCAGGCTGCAGTCATCAGGCGACAGATGTGCCATTCGATCGAAGGTGTGGCACGGCCACTCATCCAGCTGTAATTGCATTGGTATCCCAGCAGCATCCCCGTCAAGCAATCAATCGACTGCTAAAGCAGAGCTGCAGATGGCCAGTGCTAAAGCCAAATCCTTGGGATGGCTGACGTCATCAGCCTTATCCATCAGCCGCGCCAGGGGGGAAGGCCATAAGTGTACATCGCACTTTCTTCTGGGAAGCAAGCAGGTTCATTGCGGATCGTCAGGTCCATGCCTTCTTCCGAAGGAATGGATGAGTTATCATCATCGTCTGTCTTCTTGGAGAAGACGCCTGAATTCAAGTTCTTGGATATGGCGAGGTTTTGAAGGCTGGATCATTTCTTCTTTTTCTTCTTCTTCCTCGTCTTGTTGCTCTTCTCCTCCTCGTCCTCTTCCTGTGTTGTCGTCGTCTCCTCCTCCTCCTCCTCCTCCTCCTCCTGCTTCTTCTTCTTCTTCTGCTGCTGCTGCTGGTGCTGCTGCTGGACAAGACGGTGCAATCTGGTGGCCAGCATCTGTTTGTGTGCGTGGGAATAGCGGACTCTCTGAGAGGCGAAGCGGAACCTTTGCGGATCAAAGACAGGCTTCACGTGGGTTAGCAGGGGGAAGGCCAATGGATGGATCGCATCGGAGAAAGCGACGGCTGAATGGTGGCAGAATGCCAGCAGCAGTCCTTCCTTTGTCCCCTCCTCCTGGTGGCGATCCGCAACGGAGGGAGCGCTTGGAGGGGGATGCACAGGTGTCCAACAAGCCACGGGTTATCGTGCTAGCCGGGCCCACGGGTGTAGGAAAGAGCACGATGGCTGTGGAACTGGCCAAACGGATTGGTGGTGAAATCATCAGCGCCGATTCCGTTCAGGTGTATAAGGGGTTAGATGTTGGTAGCGCGAAGGTTCCTGTGGTGGAAAGGGAGGGAATCCCCCATCACATGCTTGACGTCGTTAGTCCTTTGGAGTCGTATACCGCTGGAGACTATTTCGAAGACGCTCGGGCTGTGACCGAGGACCTTCTGTCTCGCGGAAAGGTGCCGATTGTAGTCGGCGGTACCGGAATGTACCTTCGCTGGTACATTCATGGGAAGCCTGCGCTCCCAATGCCAAGCCAGGAGTTGAGGGCTGCTATAGAAGCAGAGATGGAGCATTTCAAATCAATGGGTGAAGACGGTTGGGACGCTGCCGTTGCTGCGCTTTCCGTCGCCGGGGATCCTGAATCGGCTGCAAAGTTGTTGAGGAATGACTGGTTCCGCATGAAACGTTGTTTCGAGATACTGCGATGCTCCGGCAAACCGCGATCGGTGTTCCGAGTTTCGTCGGAAACTGCTTCAGAAACGTCATCGCAGGTGTCGGATGATGCATTACCGCTCCAGGCGCATCAGAGCGAGCAGCAGCGCGACGATGCAGGAGATCAAGACTTGAAGAACAGGCCGGAGTCCGGTCCTGGAGGGATTGGTAGTGATGAGACTTGTGTTGACTCGGGCATGGGGAGGTGTATGGATTACGATTTCCATTGTTACTTCCTGTTTGCACCTCGAACCGCCATGTATCGGAGGATCGATGCGCGCTGTGAAGAGATGGTCATGGATGGACTCCTTAAAGAGGCCTCTTGGCTTTTAGACTTAGGAGTGATGCCTGATAGTAGTCCCCCTTCCAGGGCTATTGGCTATAGACAAGCTATGGAGTACTTGCAGCAGTGTAGGAAAGAATTGCAAGAAGAAGAGACAGGAGGAGGAGAAGAAGAGAATAGTGAAGGAGGTGCACTCAGCCACAAAGGGGTTTTGAAGTTTGTCTCTGATTTTCAACAGTGTTCGCGGAGGTATGCAAAACGACAGATGACCTGGTTCAGAAGCGACAAAATGTACCATTGGATTGATATGACACAACCCAAAGGCCATTCCTTGGCTGTGATCGTAGGTGCATACGAGAGAAGTGAGAGGAAGAGAGTACCCAGGGAGTGCAATGCGGAGTTCATTTTGGATAGTTACAAGGAAGGAAAGAAGATGAAGTACTACTGGCCAAAGTATACTTTGTTTGAGAGGCATGCGAATCGTCAGAAGGTTATTGATTGGATACGCAAAGAACAGAGAATACAGCAGCGACTGCACGTCTCTATTTGATGTAGAAAGCCTGTTCCCTCCTTTCCACTGAAAGAATCTCAAACGGTTTTCTCCTCAATTTCTTTTGGGATCCAAGACTTTTGCCAACAAAATGGAAAAAAAAAAAAAAACCGTGCCTGCTTTTTTGTCATTTTCTTTTTCTCGTTTTCTTTCCTTTTTTTTCTGTGTGTGTGTGTGTGTGTGTGCCCGTGTGCGCGCGGGGTGTCCATGTGTGTGTGTGTGTGTGTGTGTGTGTGTGTGTGTGTGTGTGTGTGTGAGAGAGAGAGAGAGAGAGAGAGAGAGAGAGAGAGAGAGAGAGAGAGAGAGAGAGGCAGGCATAGGCAGAGAAGATGGACAGATGGAGGAGCTGTAGTACACCATGTCTTTTGCGATAGGGGAAGCTGGCATGTGCGGACAACCATTTCATTTTTCCTCTACGGATGACTGTGTCTGTTCTTTCCTTTTTCTTTTTCCTTGTACATTACTCTCTCGTCTTTTGTTTTCTCTGAGGATAACTCTCCTCATTTTGCTCAGCAAGTAGTGAAAGGTCACGAGTCATAAATTGAAAACGCCGACTACATTCTTATTCTTCCTGTCTCCGTCGTTTCTATCTCCGACCTTGCCTTCCATTGCTGTTCATAAATTTCTCCAATGTCTTCTTACCATTTCCTCATCTTACAAGGCTTGCCTCTTGTGTTGCGAGCAGAGTTGCACAGGACAATCTTGTCAGCAGGGGTCTAATAATAGACACTCGGGAGGGACCTGTTAAGGGAGGAGAAGGTGATGGGCAATCTTTTAGTGGGAGACGATAGAACCGATCTTGTGAAGGAAGCTGGTAGGAGAGAAGAGGCAGAGGGAGGGGAGAGGGTGGGGGGGGAGGAGGGTGTTCAGAATAGGTGGTCTTAGTGATGCTGTGCAATCTTGGGGTCGTGTGGAGAAGATCTTGTGAAGGGTGGTGAGGTTGGGCTAAACTGATCACGTGTGTTTTGGGGAGGAGGGTCGGGAAAACGGTGCTCGTGACGGATGTTGCGAGAACGGGAGTTGGTTACACCTCCCTAGGGGCTGGGTGTGCGTCAGAGGTTGAGGTGGGTGGCAGGCCAGCGCAAGGGGGGATAGACAGAAGGGAGTGTGGATACATATATATATATATATTAACGGCAATAAGGTTCACCTGCCCGACCTTGATGGCTACAACTTGCATTCCAGCAGCGTCGGTGACCGCTTTGGGGTTTCCAGCAACGAAAGAATCATGCAGAGCTGTTTCCCGGGAATTCTTTTGTCCGATTCCTCCTCCTGTTGCGCTAAGATTATGTAAGTGCGGAGGCGAGGTGTACCACCAGCTTGCGAGCGATTGCATGCAGTCAGGATTTGACGTTGCACAAGAAGAAGGAGAATGTCATTGGCCGCACCAGATCACTCGCGGTGGTCGGGGGGTAGGTACAATTAGATGGTGCTGGGCGCCTTCGACTACTGTGGCTCTGCAAATGAAAACGAGGCAGGGTTGCCCAAGAAGAAGGTTGATCATGAGTAGTAGGTCAGGTTGGGACCTCCATGCACGATGCAGCGGTCAGGAGGGTGGACGAGGCGGAGGATGGGGAGACGGAGGTGGTTGTCATCGCCAAACACTAAGCCATGGCCGTTTCCTGAAGATGGCACGGAAACAGGAGGGTTCTGATGCAGCAGTTTGTGCGGCGAAAGAGGACAGCGAGGGCCTTTTGTGGGATGAAACAGCAGTAAGCGCAGATCTGAATGATGTGGATGATGATGACAGGAAAGAGACGAAAGAGGAAAAGCAGGAGGAAGCAATGTACATTCGACGTTGCGTGGATTTGGCGCTCCAGGCCTTGGGTCATACGTCTCCGAATCCCGTTGTGGGATGTGTAATTGTGAAGGGTGGCCGAGTCATTGGGGAGGGTTTTCACCCCAAGGCTGGAGAGCCACATGCTGAAGTGTTTGCTCTCCGTCAGGCTGGTGAAAATGCAGTCGATGCGACGGCGTACGTGAGTTTAGAACCTTGTAATCATTACGGAAGGACCCCTCCTTGTAGTCTTGCGCTGGTCAAGGCGAGAGTGAAACGCGTCGTGGTAGGAGCGCTCGACCCCAATCCCCTGGTTTCTGGACAAGGCGTGAAGACACTGAGGGATGCAGGGATCGAGGTTGTTACGGGAGTGGAGGAAGAGCTCTGTCAGCGTGTAAACGAAGCTTTCTTCCATAGAATGCTTTTTCGAAAACCCTTCGGCACATTGCGATACGCCATGTCTCTAGATGGAAAAGTGGTGCGCACAAGCGCAGTTTGCCAATCTCTTCCTCCCGAGAAAGGTTGCCACTACAGCAAACTTCTTCAAGCAATGGACAGCGTTGTGATAACGTCATCGGCTCTGCTCCTTGACCCACAGCTTTTGTCTTCTGAGGAAGGTGCCAAGCAGCCGTTGCGGGTTTTGTTGCTCGATAGTCTTGATGTTCCTCTGGACTTAGCCGTTTTTGACACGACGAAAGCACCGACGGTTGTCGTCACAACGGAAAAGGCTCTGGTGGAAGACATGCAGAGGGCTGCGAAAGAGGGCAGAAGCTCAACAGAATCAAAATTTCTGGAGAAAGGCGTAGAGATGATTGCTTTCCCAGATGATGCAACAACAGAGCAAATTTTGGACGTACTCTATAACCGGGGGGCTTGTTCTGTCCTCTGGGATTCCCAAGGAACAGTTGAGCACAGTGGGGTTGCCCTCATGGAGAGGGTTTTGGAGGAGAAAGAGGCACAGAAAGTAGTGGCGGTGATCGTGCCCGTGATATCTGGAAGAGGCCATTCTGCCGTGAATTTGTCAATTCCCGTCGAAGGCCTGAAGCTTGAGAGATGTGTCACAAGCCGATGTGGGGACAATATAATCATCGAGGGTTACTTGCCAAATCAAGATTTACTTAATTAGGAAGGCAAGGAAGGGGGGGAAGTACAGGTAGGAAAGAAAAAGGTGTGTGTGTGTGTGTGTGTGTGTGTGTGTGTGTGTGTGTGTGTGTGTGTGTTGGGGGGGGAGGAGAGAGAGAGAGAGAGAGAGAGAGAGAGAGAGAGAGAGAGAGAGAGAGAGAGAGAGAGAGAGAGAGAGAGAGAGAGAAGGTATGCAAAGTTATACTAGTGTATGCGAGTCCACAGTCTGACTGTGCAGGAGTAATGTCGAGAAAGGAGTGCTCTTGTCTGGTTTGCTCAATCAAGAGTGTGGAGAGGCATGGAGCATCACACTCTTTTGGGTGAGGAATGGTACCTCATATTACCCTCTGTCTCTTTGGTAGTTTCTTTATACTATTTCTTTGTATACTTTGTTCGGATAACTTGTCTGAACTCCTCCTTCTCGTCCTCGTCCTCGTCCTCGTCCTCGTCCTCGTCCTCGTCCTCGTCCTTGTCCTCCTCCTACTCCTCCTCGTCCTCGACCTCCTCCTCCTTTTCCTTGCTGTCCTCCTGCTCCCTGACCCTGTCCTCGTCCTTGTACTCGTCATGGTCCTCGTTCTCGTCATCCTCCTCCTCCTGACAGGGACAAGGTAGGAGTAGAGAGATGGCGAGGGGCAGGATGGAAATTACTAGTAGGATGTGCTGGGGGTATTCTTCCGGCCAGTGACAAACGTAGAATTGGCCAGGGACCTGGTGGGATTTTTCAGCAACTCAGGTAGGCCCTGTGACTTGGTAGAGGCTTATTGGGTAGTCCAGTAGCGGCCAAAAAGAGTCGTAAGGGTTCAGGCCCGTAACCCTTTTTTTTTTTTTTTTTTTTTTTTTTCAGGCCCGTAAACCTACCAGGGTACTAGGTTAGATACCGGCCCCTGAGGCCGGGTTGCAGGCTGAAATGATGTTCCCGCCAAAATCATTAACAAGTGGTAGGCCTATTGTACCTGAGGGAGGCCAGGTAGTGCTGTGTAGTGTGCAGCGAGGAGGTATTGCAGGACTGGCAGCCAAAACATATGAGCAGGTGTAGTGAGCAGAGCATTACTCGTCGGTTCATTCTTCAAGTGAGCATTATGCTGCTCTGCCGAGAGGGGGAGGTTGGTGGAGCTGGAGGGTGACGGTGAAGACTTCCATGACTATGGAGGAGTAGTAGGGAGGTGGTAGAGATAGGCCTACACTATGGAGGTGAGGGTGATGGATCTCCAGCTGGCTATGGTGGAACAAAGATGTAGATGGAGGAAGAAGGAAGTTGGAACCGTGTAGGAGACTCACCTTTGGCTATGGCGGACCTCCATCTCCACTTCCTTGGTTGGCACTGTATCTAGAAGGCCCCGGTGTGGGCATCGACTGAGCTGGGACTTCATCCACAAGAGTGTGGCTATGGCCAATAAAGATGGGAGTTGAGTAGTAGAGTTTGCGTCGTCCTTTGAACATCTTGATGCACAGGTATGATCCGCCATAGCTAGGGATGCCACCAAGTTAAGAACAGTGATGTTATGGCTGAAAGGAGGGCTCTTTGTGTTCTGGCAGTAATGGGGAGTAATCGGACATTGTTTCTGGCTCTTTCATTCATTCATTGCTTATTATTATGAAGATGATGAAGGCGGCGATGATGAGAGGTGACGTTGGTCTCAACTTGTGGCCTTCTTCTTCTTTCTTCTTCTTCTTCTTCTTCTTCTTCTTCTTCTTCTTCTTCTTCTTCTTCTTCTTCTTCCTCTTCTTCTTCCTCCTCCTCCTCCTCCTCCTCCTTTGATTCTTCATTCTTCTTCCTCCCTTGTCTCAATTCTTCTTCGAATCTCTTTTATATCTGAGTTGCAATGGAATGACATTCTGTTTTTGAGATTTTGCATTCAGAGTTGATTAGGAGAGTTGATCAGGAGCATCATAGCAGGCTGTCTGTTAAATTGCCCCTGAAACTGACCATTTCATAGCCGGTCTAGCTGCTGAAGGCCATCACTGACTTGTGAGGGGCATATATGAAATTGGTTTGACGAACTGTGATTGTGCGGGTCACAATCTATTATGCAGTCACTGACTTTTGAGGGGTCTATATGAAATCAGTTTGTCTAACTGTGGTCAATGTCAGGCTTAGTAGGGCCATTTTAGGACCATCAATATTTCCTCTTTTGGAAATTCATGTGTGATTAACCCTTTGACTTGTGAGGGTCCATCAGGATATTTCCTCATTTGCGGAACACAGCGTAATTGTGCAAAAGTTAACAAGCAAGAGGAAAATTGTAACGGCGACGGGCTTCTTCGGCCGTAATGGCAGATATGTGCCTGTACCATGGGTAGAACAGGCCCACATATTTCTATTGCTCGCGACGTAGCCCAGAAAACTGCTTTTTCTTCTTTTTCCTTAAACCACTCGTATCTCTGAGCCTGTTTTTGCCGACCCTGAATTTCACTGCGCTCCGAGTTTGCCGAGTCTGCGTACCACTCCGTTTTCTCTCTGATACTCTCACGGAAAGAACCAAAAAAAAAAAAAAAAAAAAAGTTGCGGCCGTGAACTCAGAAACAAAGAAAAAAAAAAAAAACGAAACAAAGCTTTGGTCGTGATTGCAGTTGTATACATTCTTGGAAGTGGTAGTGTGAGTGTGCCCTCGGTGAGGGCATCTCAGCCCCTCCTTGGCCAGGTTGTCAGATCTGAAAAAGAGAATAGAAGGGGAAAAAAACGGGCACATGGATCCGGGCGTGAAAATGGCTGGATACATTCCCCTTAGTACCAGAGTGATGCGTGTTACAATCCTCTGAGGTGGTGGGGACCACCAACCACTGCCCTCAGCAAGGTACCTGTGGCAAAAGTCAAAGCAGASTATCACTCACCCACACCAGATGGAAAACTCTACAGACTGGTTCACACCCCATCACAAGCCAGCAAAACACACATGAAACAAACAAAGGTCTATCACAGCCAAGAAAATACACTCCAGACACGCCGCTGGCACTCGAGGCACAGCAGGGCATTTATATTATATATATATTTATGTACAGGGTTGCCAGGCGGAACGTACGGAGGCCCCTAAGCTGACCCCCCCGCACGGGCCCCGAACCTGGAAGGGTTCGGACCCCGCAAAAAAATATTTTGGCACCTAAATATTATTATTTTTTTCTGAAATTCTTTTGTGTGAGTTCTTTGTGATGTAAGGTACCTCCCTGTTAATTTTGAAGCCATTCTGTTCAGTCAAAAAAACATGAAAAATTGGCAAAAATGGTGGTGTCAAAACTTGCTTGCCCACTCGCTAATTTGTTTTTTCTCTCTTCTGACTTTTTGTTTTTCCTTTATTTCGGGGCATGAAAAAAAATATTATTTTTTCAAACGTCATTTGTAAATTCTCTATTATGTAAACTACACATATATAAATTTTCATGGCGTTTGTCACAGCCCAAAAAACAACGAAAAATCGCCGAAGATGCCCACTCAATAATTTCGCTCTCGTTTTTTCCCCCCTAATTTTTATCATTATTATTTATTTTTAGTAGTTGATTTTTATTTCAAATTTGGTAAAGAATTTGGATGTAACGCTGAGTCCAATGTTGTCTAGTTTATTCTTATGCATAACATATATTTTTATCAGATTTTTTGGATTTTTTTTTTTTGTTGGGTCCTCGTTCGGCCGAACGGCCGAACGTGTCAAGAGGGGGTCCCGAACGTTCGGGCATTCGGGTTCGGGCGTTCGGCCCGTCCTGAACGCCGGCAACCCTGAGGATTGTAATTATACCAGCGAAGGAGGCTTTATCATTGCTGTCCTACAAGTAGCAATGAGGGACCGTCAACTTGAACTACGCAATGCTTGAGCAGGTGAGTGGTTTAATCCTCCATCCCACATCTCTGCCTGCATTGTGCACGGGCCTGGCCATTACATGGCCATTGTACATGTCTCTGACCACTGGGAGCTGTGGGACAACGGCACCATGGTCCATGCCATGATTGATGTCACCGATTTCTTACAAAATGATGCTGTTTTCTTGCCACAACAAACCGTCCGCAATCTCTTTTATGTCGAAGATCATTCCTCTGGCCCCGTGCTGCAGCAAGACAATGTACCTACCTACACTCTGCGATCTTCTCCTTTGCACAGCCACAAACACTGTTACACTCGGTTGTAGTCGCCATCGTCTCTGTCACAATAACTCCAATGACATGGTTTCTGCATCCATGTGTGCAGAGGACTGTCCCACCGTTCCTGACTGCAGGCACCCTCCACATCCGGACACTATATGTCCATTTTGCGGCCATGGGCGCTATACTGAATGCATGCTCTTTTGTGGTGACCGTTCTTCTTTCATTTTGGCCTGCAATCGACATGCCATTTGTCAGGGGTGTATGGTGGGCATGCCCAATGCCAGCCGTCGTGGCAATTGTTGCACTTAGAATGTTCAGCTAGGTCTTCCATGTGTTCGTCCACCTCATCCTTACAATGTATGTCCTCTCTGTCGTCAAGGACAGACTCATTCTTGAGCCTTTTCTTATCCTCTTTTGCCTTCATCTTCACTCCACACTCCATACTTTCCCTTACTTTCCCTTTATCGTGCTTTGTTTGTCTGCTCTCCATCTCTCCTCCCTGTGTTTATCCGCTCCCCCTTCACTCTGCCTCTTTCTCACAGCGTACAAGTGGGCTGTTATGGCACACGGGGATGGGGGCAGCTCGCGCTCAACTTCATCAACGTGGTGAGCCTTGTACGTTAGAGGCACGGTGAAAGGGGAGTCAAAAGAAGAATGAGAAAAATGAATGGTTTCACTGTGCCCTTCATGTTTGTCTTGTTTTTTTAATTTTTTATGTTTTGCCGTTTGTTTCGCAAATTGCGCTCTTTTAGTTCATAGTTATGTGACAATATATATATATATATATATATATGATGATATATACCTCGTTTGTTGTCCTCTTCTCTCTCTCTGCCTACGGTTTACCGGGCAGTTCTGTTTGTGACGATATATATATTGACGATATATATATATATGACGATATGGAGTGTGGAAAGAAGCCCGGAGAAGGAGAGGGATCTGAAGGGTTTTTTGTGTATTCTCTCTTCCTCTCCTTTGTCTATTCTCCCTCCACACTCTTCTCTTTTTGGATAATGAGATAGTGATTGAGATATCACTTCACGATCTGGAGACTTTCAGACAGATATTGAAACTATTGTTGATTGACGACTTCTGAGTACCTAACAGAAATGATAATAAGAATAATCCTGGTCACATACAATAGTGCCACGTGGCACTTATCCCATGAAGACTTTGAAGACAGCCGATTTCTAGTAACGATGTCAGCCACAGGCGAGTACCCGATT